CATCTGAACGAGATCGAAATTTGCAGGATGGTTTTTTTTTTTTTTTTTTTTTTATGGACATAGGATTGGTAACAGACTGCCAACTGAGTTTTCATGCTTCTCTATTTTAAATGAGTCGGCTAAATTGGGCTTTGTCATAAGAAATCTGCAAAGTGCTTGGTTGCCCTACTGCTGAATCGGATTATTATTATTATTAAAATATAATAAATGATCAAAGAGAGGGAGAGAGAAAAGAGCAGAACTGAGTTCATACTGAATCGTACCGCATCCAATCCTTCAGAAAAAACAAGGAGGCAAAAATCAAATGATAGCTTCACAACATTCCTACCTCCCCGCCCTTTCCCCCCCTTCTTTCTTCTCTCTCTCTCTTTTTTTTTTTTTTTAAATGGCAAATTTAAAACACGCATCCCAAAATTGGCGGATTCTCAATCAGTCCATTTGAAGATCAATGATGTTGGGGATGGTGACGTACAGGGAAAGACAAGTTAGGGAAGACGGCACGAGAAAAGAAGGGCATGCAGAGAGAGAGAGAGGGGATAAAGGAATGGGAGAAGAGGGAAATGATGGTTTATTATGGCAAATTTGAGTTTTACACTAAAGCGTACATATATCCAAAAGTCCTTTTGCAGAGCGAGAAGAGAGGTCAGAAGGGCACGGAAGAGATCATGAGAGAAAAGCGAGAGGGAGGAAGAGAGAGAGCGAGAGGGAGAGAGAGAGAGGGAGGAGAGAGAAAGGGTAATTTTATTCACGCAGAAGTGCTAAGATTGAGTTGACATGAAATCAAGAACGACTAGGATTTCAATTTAGATTGGAACATTGTCCCAAGGAGTCGTTCATCTTCTACGAGAACAGGCGAAAGTAAGCTAATGGGAAGGGGCGTGGTCTTAGGGGCAAACGAGCAAGAAGGAAATCTTTCGAGTTCTTCGACTAGATCTTCTGAGCTCAGGGTCATTTCACAAACTGATACCGAAGACTGAAGGCAATGCTTAAATCTGACAGCAATTCCGAGGGTTACCGAAGATTCGAGCTTTCTATCCAAGCTGGCGCGCAGGGCCTAACTTCGTAATTCCTAGCTCGAATTTCACACAAAGTTTTGAGAATGGTGGAGCAAGCCCTCCGGGGCAGGATCTCTTAGCAGGCTCAGGACACGTCCAGATATCTTCCGGATTCGGGGGGCGAATTCGGGGGACTGAGATTGCGTCGAGGCAAATCGATCTGGGTCTCTCTCTGATGATGAAGGCCTTACTCCAGATTCGTATTGCCTGCTGAGATCTCGTTTGACAGGGGTATGAAGATTGGGCGATCGTCCTGTGCATACCGTCTGGTTAGCGATCTCCAGGATACTGCAAGACTCAGGTTTGCTCCTCCATCTGCGAAGACAGATTTTGAATCGAGTCCTAGCCTCTTACAGCCAAGAGTGGTTATCCAGGCACCTTCACCGAATTTGAAAAGGTCCTCTAATAGCAGCAAATCTCTTTCCTCCTTACTGGCCTCTTTTAATATCTTCGAGACAAGTGTTTTTGGCGTGGTGACTCTGCATCTTCCCCATAGTTCCGCCTCCATTCCCCTCAGCAGTTCTACTACCAGTTCTCTCCTCGATCCTCCCGAGAGGGCAATGACAATCCCCAATGCCGCAAAATCCCATCTTCCTCTGCCCTTCCAGGCCTTGCTCTCTGCTTCGCAGGCCACCTTCACAATTTCCAATTCTTCTTCATTCAACTCATCGATCGTCTTTCCAAAGACTCTGGCCAAGGTGTAACGGGCGAGCAATTCGCCAAGTATCCAATGATCCAGCATCCTTTCGATCAATCCTCTTTCGATCACCAAGAATTTTCCTTTCCCTGATGGTCTATTGATAGTGCAGAAGGCATTCCGATTGAGGAATGTCAACAACACATCTAGGCCCTTTTCCGTTTCGAGCCTATGTTCCCTTCCAAAACTCGCCCTTAACTTCTCTATGCTCCAATTGCGAAAGACGTTGCATCTCCCTAGTTTCAAAAGAGTTCCGTTTGAGCGATCCAAAACTCGGATGTCGAATGAACTTGCATCAAGAGCGAGATTGGCAAACACCCCTTCTGCCGCCATACTCAATTTTTCCCACTGCTTCACCAGCTCCACTCCGGCTTCTTCACCGTAAATGTCTACCACCGATCTAGGTACCACCAAACTCCAGTCTCCTTCCCTTCCCCCTACTGCAAAGGCCAGTCCCATCATCATGGCGCCCTCCCGACTCTCTTCTCTTCGAGGAATTGAAATCGATTGAACGATTTCTTAATTCGAGTCGCCTTGTCGTAATCCAGATTCCCCAAACAGATCCCGAAAACCCCAATCCTCCCAGATGCTGACAGACAATTTATCCCCAAATCGAGATTAAGCGACAAATCTTTTGAATCCTGGTCGCCACATTCCAGGCGCCTTAACGCATATCTAATCTTTCTTCTCTTGCGGTCTTCTGCAACCAATCGGGTGCTGGTCCTTTTGTCTCCGTACAATTACCCCATCCTATGCTCTATATATTCCTGAAATCCTACCTCATTGCTTTGCCAGTTCGGGTGAAGGTGCAAAACAACCCTCGACTAATTTCAAAGTTCTATTGCAAACGCAATCGCCTTCCCACCTGCTCATTTGTCACTCAGCGTAGGCGCAATCAAGCAATCGAGCGTCAGATCAACCAAAACGCAGGCTTCCCTATTCATCACCACCGGGTACGACTGTCATCCTTATTGAGAGCATCAAATTTGGCGGTCACCCCTGCCCAGCAAGCTCGTGGCCGCCTTCCTGATCTCGTGTGGAGAGACGGATTTGAAGAAGAGAATAGTTGGTCGAGTGTTGGAACGAGGAGTGAGGCAGCGGAGAGAGAGGATAAGAGTGAGGGAGTGAGAGAGAGATAGAGACGAATCAACTCGCTCAAATCAGATCGCTCCGGCTTAAGCGCGGAGGCGGCAGTTACTCCCGATACTCTGAATGAAGCCTTCTTCATCATCTGTACTAATTGCCTACGGAAGGTCGAATCCAATCCTCCCTCGTTCCATCCTGCCTAAGTCTCCATCGCCCGATCCTTCGATCTTCCCAGCGTCAGTTCCAGGCGCGTTCGACTCAAACCCCTGCCTGCGGTACTAAGTTCGATGCCTTCGCGGCCGGCCGGAGCCGGCCGCTCAAAAGACTTAATCTTGCGAAATCTACCCTCTAAATAGCGGTCGAAGGCGCCCGCCCTTCTAAGAGCCGCCCCTCTCCTACCTCCGCGCGTAGTCTAAATTCCGAACCTAGCCTCCAAATCGTCCAGGTTCAGCCGAAATTTCCAAAGGTTCCTTCCGACTTCTATTCTGGCGTAGCGGAGGTAGTTCCTAGTGCTGCAGAGCGACGCTACCCTGGTTTGCAGTAACCTAGCTTCCGTCTCGAAGCACCGTCGAAGAGCAAGTTCAGCGAAGTACTCGAGTAAGAGACCTATTTTTCCTTCCTCGTACCTTAAATAGTAGCTAGATCCCTTGACTCGTCTTCGCCCCTGTTTTAATTTTGTGTACAAAAGTCACTCAAATTCAGACCAGTTTCATTCCCCTTGCCTCAGTCCCTTGGTTCCGGGTACTTAACTAGATTAGCCTGAAGAAAAACACGTTTCGCCGTGCGAAACTGGGAAAAATCTCCAAGTCCGGTACTCACAGCTTGTCGCTCACCCGTGCAGGAACGTGCCACTCAGCTCGGCGTGTGCGGCAAGGGGAGGATTGGAAAATCAAAGCGTGATGAGTGCTCTTGGCTACTATCCCTTTAGAGCAAAGAGCACTCCTCCAGGGATAGTCTCATCTGAGTTTGCCCCTCTTCTGGGCCGAATTCAAGAACCCAGGTGAGACTTCTGACCCTGAGCCACAGATTGGGATGCTGAAATCCTGCCAAAAAACTCGACCAATTAAAATCCCTGCCCTATGTGACCACTAGTGTACCTAAGATCCCAAATCGGCCCTTCCCAAATCCGCATATTTTGCGGATTTGGAGTCACAGTGTGATTATGCCCTCAGATAAGAATAATCAGGAATGCCAGTTCAAAAAAGCTGTTGCAGTCCTTCGGGACATCCGTTAAATTTGGAACTATACAGAGAACATTAGCATGGCCCCTGCACAAGGATGACACGCATAAATAGAGAAATGGTCCAAATTAGAAAAAAAAAAAAAAGCTGTCGCAGCCTCCCAGTCCCTCCAAAAAATTCTGAGGACTGGGCAAGAGACAAAGAGATGCAGCTGTAAACCCTCCACCATATACCCATCATCACATGACTTACAATAAGGTTCATCCCTGGAGAGGAGATTACAGTCCTCTTTCTGTGGATTGGGCACCGCTCTGGTCGAACGACGCCTTGTTGCTTGGCTCGCCACGGGAAGTTGAGTTTGGAGAGTGGTGAAGCGAGGCCCTTTGTGTTTAGGAAGCATGGCGGGTGCAGGCAGCTTCAACTTCTTCAACGTAATTTCAGATGCCATATATGGATCTACATGTTACTGCAGCATGATCTCAGACTCGGAGTTGTGAATGAGAATTATAGAGTAATATAGACCTCTTGCTCTATCTGAAGGCCATGAATGTCCATGTACTCAGAAAGCCAAAACGAGGACATACTCCACACTACCATTTTTCTGATATAATCTTGCTGTCAAACAGCATTCAGTTAACGTTGTCTCTTTGAGGTTTTTTAAGTTGTAGCCTTGTAGGAAATTGATTTTTCCTCATTTTCAATGAGATAAGTATGTTCATGTCCCATCCAAGGATGGAATGAGCAAATAGAACACACGCTGGCAAAGAAAACCGTGCCGAGTTCGAAAAGGCAACGAAAGTACCGACGGCCGTGGTGTCATATTTACAGAGTCGGCCATGCTGTCAAAGAACAAAAAAAATGCCCAACGGTTTTGGACCGAAAATGCATGTTTCCAAGCTGCGCGTGGTTTCTTTCCTGGCACGAGTTTTTTTTGCCTTTGCGAACTCAAAACCTGCGGAGTCCACCATTGTATCTTGTTTGGGGAAATTGTGGCTGGGGCACACTTTTAGCCTTAAATAGGCCACGGAAGACAAAGTGGCGCAGATGTCATGATGTGAGTTTCGAAATGTGCAAGTTTTAAGAGGGTCTAAAACTGCACCAGTCATTACCCACTGTGGCACTAGACAGATTTAGAGTTGCCTTCTTTGCTCCATTTTGGGAACTGCTAAAGTTGCCTATTCTGAATGTCAGGTGTGACTCCAACGTACTTGCCACTTTTTTATTTTAGGCCTATTTACATGGAGAGTGTATGACATCTTCCGTAAGTTATGCTCTGGGGGGGGGGAGGGGGGGGGGGGGGGGGGGGGGGGGGGGAGAGAGAGAGAGAGAGAGAGAGAGAGAGAGAGAGAGAGAGATTGAAACAGAGAGAGGCGGAGGTATACAGAGGGGGCGGAAAATAGTGGAACAGAAAGTAATTACCATATCCGGAGGCAGAAGCATATGAGAGGATTTGTGGTTCTCAGTCCCCAGTCCCAGTTCAAAGTCCCAGTCCTGAGTCTCTGTCTTGAGTCCCAGTCCCAATTCCTAGTCTTGAGTTCCAATCTCGAGTCCCAGTCTCCAGTCCCAATCCTGGCTCCCAGTCCCGAGTCCCTTTATTGACTTTCATTCCGTGTTCCATTGGCAGCCCTAGGCTCCTAGCTGCATGTACAAGTTCAGAGTGACAGTGTGTATCAGTGCCCTACCCCCGTTCACCGTTCATGGCCCTGGTGAACGCGGGCCGGTCACCGGTCACGAAAAATGTGACCTGTCATAGTTCACGGAGTTCACGCAGAGCGGGAACTCCGTTTTTTTTTTTTTTTGGCTGGTAGGGGGGTGTTTTTTTTCGCATAGGTGTGTGGTCCATGTCAATGGGCACCTGCCCAATTTTTTATTTTTTTTTATCAGAATATATATTATATTTTTTTTGAAAAAAAATAAAAAAAACAAAAAAGAAACCGCGTTCGGCTGTGTTTGTTATAACTTCCGTCGGCTGTACGGTCTGTACCCCATTCTGAGGGTGTTTCGGGGCCCTACAAAAAACAGTAACTGACGGCATCTTACACGGTGCAAGCGCCATACAAAGAAAAAAGAAAGAAAAAAAAAAAAAGGTCGGGCCTCATTTCCCGCCAGGATGGTTGGCCGTCCGTTTTGTGGTGCCATAAAGCACCACACGCAACGGAGGCCATCATTCATTGCCTTTCGTTGGGCAGTGGCCATTCGTGCATGATAGAGAGAGAGAGAGAGAGAGAG